TATCTATCTATCTATCTATCTATCTATCTATCTATCTATCTATCTATCTATCTATATATCTATCTATCTATCCATCCATTTAAGAGGGTGGAGGGGGTTGTACTAATACTAAACAGGTTCAGTCTCAAAGGTGACAAAGTCTTTGCATAATATTCATGTTTGTTTCTTTTCCCCATCCCCAGATTTATCAACAGCAGCTGCCCCGCCATGTGTATCGCTCTCTTATTGTTCGCCATACCGCGGAGTCTCCCTAAACCGGCTAGGGAGGGTGAGGGTAGGTATATATTTTTTTTTACAGTATTACATGAGGCAGCGTGGTAAAATCAGGTGCTCATCACCACAAGGACATCGAAGAAACCGGCATTCAATTCCCGCTCGTTTGACAATTTTTTTTTATCGAAGGTTTGTTTTCTGGCCATGAACCTCTTACGTCTATTTAGAAACACATTTCTTTGTGGATTTTACTGGGAAAACAGTGATTACAGGCACATAAAAATGTAATTTTGCAGTTTTCAAAGATTCCCAGGCTTTGAAAGTAAGTGCATATAAGATAGCGAGGTTAGGAAAATATAAAGTGTAACGTTTATGTCGACGTTGCTCAAATTATGTCTAAGAAGAACTTGTCCACGGTGCTGAAAAATGGTATTGCCCCAGTGAAAAACTGGCAGGCCGTACGAAGTATAAATGATTGTGCATTGAGAAAGAAAGAAATCCTGCACCAACTCGTCGCTACCTAAGAATTACAAAGTTCTATCTCACATTTTGGGGTGTTTTAAATGACTAAGTTCATGAAATCAGAAATCAAATGTTCTATCTGTTCTATCGAAATCGTAAGATTATTCGAAGTCGTTATCAAGGTACTCAAAGAACTGCATTCGAAAAAGCTTGACATAGTGTGAAATTCAAATTTTTTAACGTTAAGTTTCTCCAAATTTGGGAACAAGCACATAGAACGTTGTAATTCTGAGGTAGCATTTTGTGTCCCCGTGCAGGTGTGAAGAAGGCGATGCCTCTGATGGAGTGGCCCTACATACAGAAACGTCTCCCCTGGCATCTCGTCTTTCTCATCGGCGGAGGATTTGCCTTGTCTAAGGGCAGCAAGGTAAACACGCACACTCTTTTGGTAGTGTTTTACGGCGCTCGCAACTGCATAAGGTTATATGAGCGCGCGGGACACATTAAACACGTTCAGTTGGTAGGACATTTTGAATTTTGCCTAGGTGGCTGCCGAAGCATACACTTTTCGATGTTGGACCGTCAAACTGCACACGGGACCTCCGAAATATTTCATCCTTATCAGAGAAGGCTACGTGTTGATCTTACCTACCATACGATCAAGGGTGTGGCTGAAAGACGGCAGTAAGAAGGAGCCAAGGAGTAGCAGTAGAAAGGCTGCTGTAAGCGTTAGGACCACAGAAGAAGGGGAAAAGGAGGTGAGGGGGTGGGGCAGAAAATGGAGACGAAAGCAGACGACAGAACATTGTCAGATAGCTGGAAAGGAGGCGAAGGGAGAAACATTTAGAGAAGAAGATTTTCCGTCGCTATCTGGATTCAAACCCGGGACCTATAGAATGAGAGGCGAACACCGTAAGCTCTCGAACACGAAAGCCTCGCACTCAGATTAAAGTTTCATTTCTTCAGTTTCCTTTTTTATGTGTGTGTAACACATAAATTAAGGCATAGGGTTTACAGGTTGTTAGCAGACTTTAAAAAAAAATCACACAGGGCTTTTCGTAGATATGAGAAGAAATACAAGATTTGGGTGTACTTGTGCCCCTACTGACACAATTATTGAAACGTTTGGGAGACGGGCATATAGACAGACATATTTTGATAATGATTTGCGAATTCGGGAATCGACCTCGGGGTCTCCTCTGTGCGACGGCGATTCGAAGCGCTTAATCTCAACAGCATAGACGGTGGTACTGGGAGTAGGGTGAGATTAAGAGATAAAAAGAATATTCACGATAATTTTAATAATTGAGAGCAACTGGAACTCTTCAATTTGTACTCGTAGCTTATGTCCGTGACCGGTCATACCTCATAGAGTCACGGGTGTAAAGAAGTGCACGCACACGCACGCGCACACGCAGATGCACACGCGCACAGTCACACAAACAAACACACACACACACACACACACACACACACACACACACACACACACACACACA